GGCCTCGGGCTTGTGCTGGAGCTGAACTTGGCCATGCCGGGTTGTTTGTGTCTCAGCTGCGTTTCATAGGCGGCGTTTCAGGTCACTGCCTGTTTTTGGTTTCTTTTTCCTTCCTCTTCCGGCTCTGCTCGCTGTTTGGCGAGCTGGGATTCCTACTCTCCTCTTCTTTTCAGGATTAATGCTTTATCTTCATTAATGGGGTAATCAGCTTGAACGCTAAAGCCCTGGTGCTATAGTAAGAACATGCATTCCCCAGTGCCTGTGAATAGAGCCCTTCGCTTTATCTTGTACCTGTGCTGTTACCCCTCACCGAGGGCTCTGGTATCCGTACACAGCGTTCCCCTTGCCCCGGGGTTTCGGTGGTCTCCTGCTCTGGGGGAGCTCAGGGTTTGCTGGCTGTTGTTTTGTTGTTTGCTCATCTGGCGTTCAACCCAAAGTGTCTCACCTGGGATTGCAAACAGCTGCTTCTGCTGACGGAGCAGTTTGTCAGAAGCCAGTGTGGTTCCTGTCATCATTGCAAGGAATACCTAAGCCCACATAGCTCTCTAAACTTGTTTAGGAGAGTGAGTGTGTGAGCGTTCCTGGCAACTTTTTTTTTCCTCCTAAAACCTAGAAATGGGGCAGTAGTGATTAAAATTGGTGATTTTAGTCCTGGAAGTATATGAGAGAGTGTCAACAGGTTGCTACACCAGCGTTGCTGTACTAATTTCCTTCCTCCTCAGTGGTTTGTTTCAGCTGTGTTGCTTGAGGCCTCTGAAAAGGCAGCAGTGCACTCCAGAAGGTTAACGAAATAAATATCTTGGAGGTGTTTGTTGGCTCCTTTTTGGACCTTCTAAGCATGGTCATGTCCTGGGTAACCAAGTATTACCTGCTCTTCACCTGTGTTAATTGGCCTTCCCCAGGATTGACAGAAGTGGGACATGGGCGCTGACTCACCCACAGCTCCCCAGGTTGTGGTGTAACTGTGCAATTAAAGTTAAATTTTGGCTTTGAATTCAAACACTTGGAAGCCTTTTTAAGAAGAACTTTTTCTGTCCCTGTCTTGCCAAGAGACACCTCCTCACTCCAGCCTCTTTTGTAGTGGTGTGTGATGCTCTGTGAAGGATTGCTCATATATATATATATATGTATATATATGAATATACAGGTATGGATGTGTTCTGGAAATCAAATGGAAGG